TCTTTAATGTTCTGGCAGTTTCCATTTCAAAATTCTTGGTATTGCATTTGGATTATCAGACTTGACAATTGTTGTATGTTTATGAAGTCAATACTGCACATAAATGCAAATTTAATTTAATCAAATGAGTTACATTATGTTTATTTGACAGCAGGAAACAATATTGAAAATACAACCAAGCTGTTAACATCTTACCAGTTACAACATTACATATCCACTAACTCCAAATGAGCTACTACTCTTTTTTTGAAGTGAAGAGATAAGAGATTCATGTATTGCACTTGACCAATCATACTTCTTCATTTCATCTATATCCTTAACGTATGAAACATATCCTCATCCTATAGCTGTCCCAGTGGTTGTGAAAAATAGTGTAACCATTAAAAATAGGAATAGGAGTCTTGAAACGTTATCAACGTCATGTTTGTTTGTACCTCTTGCTGCTTCAAGCAATCTGCTTCTTATCAAAGTTGATGTCAACCTGCTATTTTTCTTGAATCTCCTTTTAACAAATTTTGTATTTTCCTTAGCATGAGATAAACAATCCATGGGATCGCGTCCATCATCAATGGCAAAAATTATTTTCACATCTCTCCTTCCCAATTTAATGTCCTCACCACCAATGTGAAATTTAGATATATTATCATTGAAGCACATAATTACATCATGTATGATAGTATCGCTCTTCCTACACCATGTCCTGTCTAGTTTTTTGTCAATGATGAATTCAAATAGTAACTAGAATGTTGTTTTTCTCAAAACAACCTTGTGTGCTTCACTAATGTTAATTTCATCTATTGCTCTAATTATCGCAAGTAAATTCGATCTATATTTAGCATCTTGCTTCGATTCCACGACTTATTTTTTTCCCATCATAGCTCTGAGGTGGGGAGTGACAAAGAAAAAATGTGTATAAAGTACACCAAAAGGTTAACTAAAAATATAACAATATAAACAAAATTAGACAACCAAAAAAGTAGTGTATAACACAACCACATAACTGAATCAAATAACAATGTATGACACATTCAAAAAGTGAAGCAAACACAATGTATAACACAGTCTAATCAATGAAGCACAAAACAGAATATAACCAATAATAGTGTCTTCTTTTTCCATGTCACATTGAAAGTATAAAGTGTAAAGTGTGAAGTATAAAGTATAAAGTGTAAAGTGTTACATGGTACACTAATGAATTGTTATTGAGAAAATTTGAGAGTGGTTCATTGTTCTTTATTTTGTTGGTAAATTAGTATGTTGTTATACTATTTTGATAAATTTGTTACACTTTCATGTGTTACCATTCACATCTTACAGTTTATATATTACATTGTGAAGTGAACACAATCCACATATAATCTTAAAAATGTTTAATCACAGAGTATAAGAACAAACAACCATGTCACTAAACAACCCGGGCAATTAACATTCACAATACACAAATCTTTTAAAATAACAACAAAAAATCAGTGTAAACTTAACAATATAACAACATAAAAGTGTTTCAAAACAAGTGTAATAACAAAAGTGTATCATTAATTGTGTAACGAAACACAAATTTTCAAATAGTTTTAAATTATCAAACAATTAAAATAAGATTCAAATATATAAACTTAAACAAGAAAAAAATGAAATGTAACCCATTATGATAATACAAAAAAAAAACATATTTTTATTGAACAAGGAATAAACATTTTGTATTCTTGTACAATATATTATTACCCAACAACAACATCTTATAAACATAATATACTGTTTCGTGTCTAATTGTCCATTATTAAACACGGTATTGGTAAATTTGTCACATTTTTATATATGTTACCCTTTCTATATTATACTTTATATATTTACATTGTCATATTCACACATTCAACATTTAGAATTAATATAGAGTGTAATCAGAGATAATTATACACAAGAATAATAAATAAGTGTGTCACTTAATACTTCACAGCACAATAAAGTTTAATAACCAAAACAAAAAGATTAAGTGAAATAAAATAAAAGTGTTTCAAATAAAGTGTAACACCAAAAGTGTAACATGAATTGTATAATCCAACACAACACAAACACTAGTTACATTACCTTGAAACAAACGCTTGTGTGCATATGTATTCAGTCAACCCAGTTCACACATATATTCAAGTATTGAAAAAAAAAGGTTATAACATCCAACAATTCATGGTATAAACAATACATAATTTGACCAACAAACAACAAAGATGAACATTAGAGACCACTCAATATTCAAACAAACAAAATAGGGTTCTAATACATGAAATTAACGACAAAAAAAAAAGAAGAGAAGTGTAATGTAACCCATTATGATAAAACACAATTAAATAAACATGGAATGAAAAATTGTATTGTACTAAATTTTTTGATTACGGGTGACCCATTTATCATATTACACAATATACACACACACACACACATAAATATACAAACATACATTACCTCTTTCAACGATCAAAACAATCAATGAACACAGAATAAATTCCATTTCAAACCACAATCGAGCAAAGATCAAGAACAAGGAAGGCCGAAAAAATCCACTTTAAATGAGAATGCCAAAAAAATCCACTTCCATGAAAACCCTCTTCAATCGATCGTGGGTTTGTAACCTAAATGCTTATTGAATCGATAAACAATGGAGATTCAACACCCTTTCTCTGATCAAACCAACAATGGGATGAGGAAGAAGATGAATCGCCTTCTTTGAAGAGGAAATGAAGACCAGCGGTTTGGTGGGAAGGGAAGTAATGACCAACTGTTTTTTCTTGGAACACAAAGATATACATTACATTTTTTGAGGAAGTTAAAAAGATTTTGAATTAATGGAGCCTAAATTTTAGCAGTTATGATAACTGTAATATTACATTTGTTAAGGAAATAAAAATAATAAAAAAGGGCATTTCAGTCTTTGGACCCAAGTACTGTACTTTTTTCAAAACATTTTTAAATGTGAACTTTTGACAAATAAGTCTAATTTGATGTACCGACTTTCAAAGAACCCTTTTTTATTTTTGTAAAGGATTGTAATTTGCCCCTTTTTGTTATTAATGGTTTGCATAAACTATGTTATGTATATTGACTTTTGGCCTTTGTGTGTTTAATGAATTTTTACATAACCTATATGATGCTAAAAATATAAAAATATCACATTAATTTTATTTACTAGAGAAAAAAATTAAATCTTATAGTTAGAGTGTGCCCACTTATAAGAGATTCTTGGCTTCGCCCCTAACCCAACAATACGAGAAAATATTCAATACAACGGTTATACTTAGGGGTGACAATTTATAATATAACACGAAAACATGACTTGAAATCAACACGAAATTGGAAGGTTAGTGTTGATCATTTCTCAACACGACTCATTAACACGAATAATAAATGGATTGAGTTAATGTTAAACACGAACAAAATAAAGTTGGCACGATTAATACTTTTTTAAATAGTATTATAAGAATAAAATATCATTTTTATTATATTTTATCAAGTAATGACCTAATTCTTCTATAAAAAATATATATTTTTACTCATTTTTATTACTAGCAATGCACCATGTGCGTTACACGTAAATAATTTTTGTATACAAAATATTAATAAAAAATATTAGGTATATGTGTACTAATATTAAATATCATCTCAAATTTATCAAAATTATGTTTTTATCACTCTTATTACACTATAGAATTTGAATTTTTTTTTTTCAACGGTTTGTTGTCTAACTATAAATAAAAAGACAAAAATAATTTATTTGAAAATTATTTGATTTTGTTTCAACTTATAATTCATTGAATAAAATAAAAATATTTATCAATATTTAAAACAATATTTACTTTAATTAGAAATTAATTAGGTCAATATGAGTAAAATATAAGGATAATAGCATTTTTGGTCTCTAAAGTGTAAACATTTTGTTAGTTTAGTCCTCAATATATGAATTTTGTCCATAAAATATTCAATTTTTGTTTAAATAGTCACTAACAAGGTGGTTCATTAAGTTTTTTAACGGAAATGATCACATGTCATTCTTTCAGACAATATCACGTGACTAACACGTGATTACTTCTATCAAAAATTTAACAGACTATTTGTACATGGATTATTTAAACAATAACTAAATACCTTAAAAACCAAATTAACAAGATTGATCAATGATAATAAAATTAACAAAATATGCATAATTTAGGGACTTACAGTTCTACTAACCCTAAAATATAATATACTATTCTATAATATATTTATAAAATATTACAATTCTAAAATTCATGTTTTACTTAAAAATACACTATAATATATTTTTATATAAACTATTAATAAAACATAAAAAGTTTACTATGATTGAAGCATTATGTTGATTTATCATAATTTAAAAAAAAAAACTATGTAAAAGATTATTTTTTATCTTAAAAATAAAATGGTCCAAATTTTATATAAAAAAATACATATATAAGCATAATATTATTTTTATATTTGAAATGAGTAATGATCTATTGATAAAGTTTTGAATATTTTTTGAATACTTTATTAAAAACTATAATAATGCATATATTTTTTAAAGGTAACGTAGTTAATTAAAAATTTTCATAGTTTTTTGTTTATATTTAAACATAACAAATATAGAATTAAAATATATGTTTGAGATAATTTAAAGATTTGAATATATAAGAATATAATTATAATTTATATATTTAAAATATAATATATAATTATTAATTTTTGTAGATTTTATTTATTTATTTATTTTAATATTATTAATTGATGATACGACATTACCATTGTAACGAATATTTTCTCCCATTTTGGGGGTGGAACTTGTAACCTATTAAGATTTTTTTTTGTCACTTTTCAAGAAGTGAACTTGGGTACAGTAATATTTTCCCTAAATTAATCAATGATCCATCTAAGGTTTCATATTTTTAGATCCATATTCGGGGATTCGTGTGTTAAAAAGATTGTATCAAGAAAACAGACAGAAGAAAAATATATTGCAGTGAGATAGTATTCATTATCACCACCAAACCACCCAAAACAATTTATCTGTTATAGCGCAAGCACAGAAACCTCGGCCATGGCGATCACAAGAATGATAGGCAAGTAACTTTCATTTTGTTGTCGGTTTTTATACAATAAATCTTAACTAACTGTTTACTTGTTGCCCTATTACTGACAAGTCTGACATCTTATTTGTGGGTCAATCTGAACAGACATAGCCGTGAACTTCACAGGTCAGTCAATTCAACTTTCACTTTCTTTCTTGCTCAAGCCTGTTTCCCAATCATGTCTTTTGGAAGTGTTTTCCTTGTCATTCTTTTCGGATTTTGCAAATAAAACCCATTTCAGATAACATGTTTAGAGGAATTTACAATGGCAAGCAATGCCACTTACCCGACATCGCGGCAGTACTTAGTAGGGCTTGGAGTGCCGGCGTAGATCGAATCATCGTAAGTCTTCTGTATTTCTACAGCTCTAGCTTATAATTCAAGACCCATTTGAGCTTTTATGTTACAAGTGTTTTGGGTTTTCTTTGAAATTGCTAATTCAATTGACTTCATTTTCTTGAGCTGTTTGGTTGCTGAGAAAATATTGGGGGGACTTAATTGAGATCCAAGTTTACTTTGTAAAGCCCAATATAAATATAATTAACTTAGAGAACTTGGACCTTTTGTGCTTGTGTGTTTCAATAACAAAACATGCTATTCAAAATTTGAATTTTCTTGATTTTTCTGGTCTGTTATTCTCTCACCAACCAAATGGAATGAGTAGTCATTGGAAAAGGAAAGAGAGAGTTTGGCAATTTGTAGAGATTGGATTTTCTCACCATTTTTTCTCTTCAGGATTCATGGATTAAAATTGTGAAACTTGGTTTGGGTTTTTACGGCTGTAGGTCACTGGTGGATCACTTGAGGAGTCAAAAGCAGCTCTTACTATTGCGGAAACAGATGGTTTGGTTATCTATGATGTTTCCCCTCTTTCTTAACTATATCTGTTCTCCCTCTGTCTCAGCTATTTTGGTTTCTTTATATTTTAATGGTTTTGTTAAATCTTGAGGGTTTATTATTTGTGGCAGCAAGGCTTTTCTGTACAGTTGGTGTGCACCCGACAAGATGCAACGTAGGTATTCGTTCTTTTAGAATATTAACTGGTGACTATTTATGTGCAAGTGTGCATTTTGGGATGATTGCCCTGTTGGCTTATCACATTGATTTAGGAATTTGATGAGAGTGGAGATCCAGAAATACATTTGCAGGCGCTCTTGTCGTTGGCTAAAGAAGGAATTGAGAAAGGAAAGGTAAGCTTTATCATCATGATTACGGGATGATAATAAGGATGATATAAATTTTGGCTCTCTTAGCAAAGTTATATTCAACACGATTTTTCATGACTCGTGGTGGCTTCCGAACTTATAAATGTGATGGGGATGAAAGACATACTCAACAGATGCAGTTTAGCTCTTGCTGCATTGGAATATTCACATAATTTGTAGGTGCTGCGGATTTAATAATTTTATGCTTTAACAAATATATTTGATTAAAAAATAGGGTTAATCTCATTTTACACCCAGAAAGATCGTTCGAATCTCAATTTGCACCCTCAAAGAGCAAAAATCTCAATTTGTACCCTCAAAGATAGAAATTTGTATCAATGTGCACCCCCAAAGATAAAAAATCTCAATTTGTACTCTCAAAAATAAAAATTTATATCATTATGCACCTAAAACTAAATTAATAAATTATACTTAGATCCCCTCATGCTTGTCACTTAATTATTTGGACATCTTTACATATAGAATATTACTCCTACATCTCATGACATTTATGCACGTACAACATGTAATCCATTTTCATTGATATATGTTAATATAACCGTTAAAAAATATAATTTTATCCTAATAAAAAATTATAATTTCATATTACCCTTATTTTATGGGTCCAATATACTCTAAAGTTCAAATCAAGCTTACCATTTGAATGTCTAATAAAATGTAGATATTTATATAATGTTTTTCATATTTTCCTTTATATAAATATCTATATTCTATTAGACATTCAAATGATAAGCTTGATTTTGAATTTTAAAGTATATCGAATCCACAAAATAAAGGGTAATATGAAATTATAATTTTTTATTATGATAAAATCATATTTTTTAACGATTATATTAACAGATATCAACGAAAAATGGTTATGTTTACACATGTACAAACGTCATGAGATGTAGGGGTAATATTCTAAATGTGAAGGGGTTCAAATGATTAAGTGACAAACATGAGGGGATCTAGGTATAATTTATCAACTTAGTTTTAGGTGCACATTGATACAGATTTCTATCTTTGAGGGTGCAAATTGAGATTTTTTATCTTTGGGGGTGTACATTGATACAAATTTCTATCTTTGAGGGTGCAAAATGAGATTAACCCTAAAAAATAAGTTTGTGATCAAGTCAGCAGAAATGGAATTTGCTCTAATACTCGATTTATGTTCTGACAAAATCTTGTGTTCCTCAATCACATGTTGATAACTGAAACTGAGGGTCCAAGTTGCATGTGTTTATTAAATCTTGCTACTTTATTCTTTTTTCTATTAAGAAATAAAGGCACTAAATCAGAATTCCAGTCACATTTTTTCAGTCCATTGAACTGTAATTAAATGTCAGATTCTCATGTTTTGCGCAAGGTAGTGGCAATTGGTGAATGTGGATTGGATTACGACCGTCTTCACTTTTGCCCAGCTGATATTCAAAAGAAGTATGTTCTTGCTCGATGTTTTTTCCCCCTCTTTTTGTTTTTGGTTTTTGGGGTTGGGGGTGTGGAGGAACTCGCTTCTAAAACTTTGTGAGGCGCACCTTTCTTCTCTCTGTTTTGACGTCTCATTATATTATTCTTTTATTTTTCCCCAATGATTCTGAATTTTCATTTCTCTTTCTTTTTGTTCATAATAGGTACTTTGAAAAGCATTTTGATTTAGCATATGCCATGAAGCTGCCGATGTTTCTCCACATGCGAGCAGCTGCTGGGGATTTCTGTGACATACTTGAGCGAAATAAGAATAGGTAAGATTGCTCTACCATAAATTAAGATTAAATCATGCTTTCTGAAACTTTAATCTGTAAGCAAAAATAGACATTTTTCATAGCTTGTATGGATGTTTGCAATGTTGGATCAGTGCTTTGCCTATGAGTTTGGACTTGATGACATTTTTTTGCCTTGTCTGGTAGGTTCTGTGGTGGGGTTGCCCACTCATTTACTGGTAGTGCAGAAGATTGCGATAGATTACTCTCATTCAGTGATCTTTTTATAGGTGAACTGCCCCATTCATCTTTACTTTGATTTTTAAGCTGTCCACAGCTCATGAGAGGTTATATTAAGATTTTTAAAATGTTCAATGGATTTTCTCTTTCTTTCATTTTTTTTCTTTCCTTTTTGCCAGGTGTAAATGGTTGTTCTCTGAAGACTACTGAAAATCTTGATGTTGTGAAGGGTATTCCTGTGGATAGAATGATGATTGAGACTGATTCTCCATATTGTGAAATCAAGAGCACTCATGCTGGGGTTAAGTTTGTAAAATCTACATGGCCTTCTAAGAAGAAAGAGAAGTATGATCAAGAGTGTATTGTCAAAGGTCGTAATGAGCCTTGTTTAGTGCGGTGAGTGGAATTGTTGGCATTTCACTGCATGATTACATGACCTACCATTAAGGTTACATAATCTACATCACTTTATCTTCCCTGTGCAAAAGTTGTATGTGCAATGCCAAAAGGACCTAGCTTTGCTTAAATGTACAATCTTTTGGAACTTAGAATAATTTGTTAGACAATGCTGGACTACAAAATTCACATTTCGTCACAACAAATTATTGACTTAGAAACAATAAAGCTGGGGCTGGCTTTGCCGATTTTCTGACAATGGGCCTATTGTATATTTTCTGTTTATTTTGCTTTTGCCCAGTGACTTAGCTGGTCTGAGAAATCCGCTTGGTTTGGGTGCTGGCTTACGTCAGGAAGGGGTTAAGGTTTGCTAATAAGTTGGCAAGTTGATGCTGGTGAGACTCCCAAAATATTTGACTTCTACCATTTTCTCTGGGGGACATCAACTTCGCCAATGAGGAAAGAGCTTATACATTGGAGATTTGACTCCCTGTATATATGGTGACTGTATTGAACCCTTGATGCTTGTCACATTTGGCTTTGGTTTGTAATCATGTCTAGAGCTACCAAGTTGGGATGTACTATTTCTGCATAATAAATGATTCTATCAATGCTTTGTGATGTGCCACTTGGTTTCCCTAAAAAAATTGTTTAACACCCAGACAGGAGTTGACACCCGATGGGAGGTAAAACAGACTATATGAACCTGCTTATTCTTAAAGTATAACTAGAAGAGGTAAGAAAAGGAGTAATAATGTACATTTGAGTTCTGTTATTTGGACCCTTCTGTACATCTAAGGTGTCACTGTGCAGCAGAAATGTTCTCACCTTTCTTTTCTCGGAAAAAAAGCTGTATGGCCTTTTTCTTTAAGTATTCATGTTGACATGGCAGGGCTTAATAGCTACATTTCTATATAAGCACAGCATGTTAATGATGGTAATATTCCTTCTATAGTGCTGCACGTACCTCTTCCACTCATCCAGTACTTAATACAACTTTAATCCCTCAGATTCTACTTAAAAAGTCCTAATATTTAGCCTAATTAAGCCTTGTGTCAGTAAAGCATTTGAATTTTATGTCTGCTAATATCTACCTCTTAAATTACCTGATGTGATTTTTATGATGTTTCATCCCATCTGAATATGTTAAAATGTATGTTGACTTTTATGACAGTTCATCCACTTGTTCCCAAATGTGTTCTGCCCTTTATATTCAAATGTTTAGTTGGTTTCTTGAATTGATTTTGTTATTGTCTCCAGGCAAGTTCTTGAGGTGGTCGCCAGTTGTAAAGGAATTGCCGACATAGAACTGAGCAAAACCTTATACCACAACACCTGCAGGTAATTTCATTGGCATTGTTTCAAGTTCTTTTTGCTTTATGACTAGTTCATCAGTCTAGAAAAGTTACATTCTGTTACAATGCTGCTGTCAATTGAAATATCGTGTAGCAACAAATTGAGTAAGTCATGCAGTCTTGGCATGATATGCAGCCGGGGTATTTTGTTTATATGATGTATGCTAATCTTCATTGGATCATAGTTGTTTCTCTTGTCATTTATTGTAGAAATTCAGAGTTCCTCTAGTGACACTAGCGTTGTATGCAGGGTTTTCTTTCCTCAGGACTTGGACTCAGCAGCAGATGCTCTTCTTGCTGGTGGTCACAATGCAGTGTAAAATACTTTCACATTCACATGACTTCTCCGGAAACAGTTTTTGTTCATTGAACATGTCCCTTAAGGACAAGGGTGGTTAACCCGTGTGAAAAGGCATAAAGCCTAAGACTTCTGAGTTACCAAAAGACGGGCTCAATCAACTACTGGATCACATCTACGGTAGGGGTTGAAGTGACAGAAAAGTGATCAACTGAGAGATGGGAGAGTTTGCTGCATATTGCAATTATCAAAATGATTTTCCATTTTGTTAACACAAAGCCATAATTTTTTTTATCATTTGTAGAAGCCGGTGGTGATGAAGCTTTTAAAAAGTGGAAAATCAGAGCATGTGGTAAAAATGTTAAATTACCATCAATGCGTCTATAAATCATCAGTTTGACTGGTGAAACTGCCTTCGTAAAATTCAACATCTAGATAGACTGAAAAAATTCTCTATTTTCTACATGGAATTTCACTAAAATTGCATTTTCCCTCCTGTATTTGTAGTTGGAATCAAGATCTCAAAGTTATTAACCTTTATGGGTTCTAGTAATAGAAATAGTTTTTTTGTATGTGAGGTAAGATTGCGTATATCTTATTCATCACAAACCCGACAATCATGGAAACACTGTGCACTAGGTTATCTTTTGTAAGAAAAGGAAAGAAAGTAAAATGAAGCAATTTTATTCATTTCATTCATGTTATTTTCTAGGCTACACCCAAAAACCCTTTATAACATGTCTTGAAATGGCATGTGTTCCCATTTTTCATTCTCTTGGTTGTAAACATATAAAAGACCATCCTCTGCAACCATCCACCTACAGACAGTATCACACCTTCCAGAGTCACTTTTGTATGAATAGGCATCAAAATGTAGCCATTCTGAATCACCCCACTGCACATCACAGTAAAACAAGGTTGTGCCCCAGATATTCACATTGAAGCTCCACTCGGTTTCATAGCCATCAGGGATTCTCAGATAACCGAGATCATCATCTCGCGATTGGCAGTGGATGTTCATGGTCCTCCCATTTCCCAGCCTGTTCACTATGCTGACACGAACTCGACGGTCTCTCACAACAATAGAACATTCAGACAGGCAAAAAATGAGAAAAATAAAAATTGCTAAGGTTTTGATTCCAGCATCTCTCATGTTGTTCTGTTCTTTATTTGCTGCATTTGCTTCTAACTTTCTTCTAAAAATGTACCTTGGGTTTTATGCTTTATGATAGCTCAAAAAGTCATACAAAGAAGCACACATAATAGCTACCTCTCTTTTAATCTTAATTACTATGAACATTTAAACTTGACATAATAATGCTCAAGTTTGTTTATTTTTTTGTTAGTTTTCATGCTAAACCTGTGACTTGACCAGAACAAAATTAAAGTAATTGGAAAGTTTCAATACCACTTGACTGAGTATTCCTCAATCTGCAATTTCTAAAAAAAGCGTACCCAATACGTGAGGCTCTTATCATTGCAGGGTCTAGGGAGGGTTAGATGTACGCAACCTTACCCCTACAAGCAGAGAACTTGTTTCTACAACTCAAATGCATGACCTCCAGGTCACAATCGAGCAACCTTAATGTTGCCATTTCTAAAAACTGATATTGGATAAAATGAAAACATAATTATGAAGAAAAAAAACGAGGAGCACACAAAATAGGTATTTTACATTTCATTCCACAGGAAAGTTCAACATCACTAACATTCCCACAGCACCAAACTTCAGCATCACTAGCATGAAATCCAGACTTTTCAAGTACTTATTTATGATGAACAAGAAAAAAAAAGTACTTGTTTATGCAATGGGAAAACACCCATATAGTGTTTGTCCATATTTTATAGAGTGCATTGAGGCTCTAGCATCTCTAAACAAGCCACAACAAGGCTGTATGAAATGGCAGAGACAAACTTATGCACTTGAGCCAAGAATTACTTGCCTAAGATAGCAACCAAATGATGGTAGGACAATCCTTGAACCGAAACCCGCCACGCTCACCATGAAGGGAGGATGCAACAGAGTTTCTCCATTTGGTTGCAGCAAGACTGGGGATGGTGCTCTCCACGAGGACACCAACCCCGATGGTCGCCATGCTTCAAATTTTTAGATTGCAGCAGCTATCTGCTGCCGCAACCCACTTACTGGGCATGACAATACCATGCCCAGCATCCATCATACGAGAGAGAGAGTGGACAGATGGCCTAAGATGACTGATTGAAAAGGGATTGAAATCTCCCCTGGAGTACATACTAGTCACCTCTGATCCGGAAAGATAGGGTCCTCTGACATTTGCTTCCTTTGGTGAGTTTGAATTTCCACTGTCAGATTGCAGAACTTCTGAATATTGAGATTCAGTGGGCTGAGAAATTTGTCCTTCACCAATCTTCTTTGTTTCAGCTCCACCCTTACCACCATTCATCTTCTTTGTGTTCAGGAAGCGTCCGCCACAGCCCCTTGGTCGGCGCATAGCGTGAAGATGACGTGACAGGTGCATAAATGGCTGCAAGCAAGCGAAAACAGAATGCAAATTATGCAACCATGAGGTATAGGGGTTTTGCTTTACAAGATAAAAAATAAAGCTCAAAACAAACCTATGCCATCTACGGTATTTCTAAAATTTTAACAATGCAAATCTTGATCCGTTGGATTTCAGTACTTGCGATGCAGATATGGTGAACCTATATTGCAATATATCATGTACTTGTGATGCAGATATGGTGCAAGGATCACCACAAAAATAATTTCTACATCTATCAGATCATATATGTTTTCCCTTTTCGGATAGAGTGGAACATTTGTTCAATGAAATAAAGAAATTCAAAAGTATACTTTACGAGCTTTGAGCACTTCATTCTTTGATGCTGCCTTTGCACGGGACTGACGGCGCCTGATTATTCCATGATATTGCTTAGCGTTTACAAATATCGGTTCATCATCATTGGTCAAGTTCAGTGGCAGCATGATGCGTCCCTGAGTCAATTGCATGTAAAATGCATAGAAACAAGGATTATATAATAGTGGGATCAGACATTTGAGATGGAAAAGAGGAGTGATTACATTGAACTTCAATGATCAAATGATTAAACATTATTGTACAAGTCCACAATTTCTACATTGGTTTCATTTCCAGACACTTGGTTGACACTTCGGGACATGCTTGATAGATTCGCAATCATGCTTTCTTCCCTTTTCCAACACCAAGTCGGAAAAATCAGTAAGACTAGTGGAGGTATGTTCAAGTATGGTACTACACTTCGTCTTGGTCCTCGATCCCGATATGGGAATACCAGTGAAGAAGGCAACACAATCATACGAGCCAAGAAGAAAGTCGAATGCTTCATCCATGCCTATGTCCATGCAACATACACAGACATACATATACACAACAAATTTTCACTAACTTGAGTTTCAGTTAATTCTAATACAGGCATAAGAATCTACAATTATTTAACAGACTCAAAATACCTGAATCTGATTAGCAAGAATCATGAGAAAAACAGAGTATATGAATCCATGGAAAATGGCAGGGTAAGCTAGTTATCAATTTGATTGTAAATCATGCAAATCCATGTAGTAGATTTGAATGAATTTAACTGCATGTGCCAAGTTTCCATTCCTTGGTCTTTTTCGCTAATAAAGGTGTGATGAAGTTTTTGGTATCAAGATGTTTACTCCATCAGTGTTCCAATTCCAACTTTACGTTTTGTAATTGATTAACTCTTATTCCCTCCCAACACCCTCGATTAATGGAGACCAAACTGACTGATGACATTTTGATTCATGTAGAAGCAGTCATTTACACAAGATTTAATCCCAAGTAAAAAGGGTAGTTCAGGTAATTGGATATTGAAAGATCAATAGGAAGACTTACCGTAATTTGAGGTCCATATGCCGAGAATAAACCATAATACTGTTCCCCATACGGATACTTTCCATGAATCTGTTAGTTCAGAAACAGAAAGAATAATAAGAACTTGCTGAGAAGCTATATTAATCTGTGAGAAATTAGTTAGTGATAAAACTTACCCCGGGTTGACCAAATCCTAGTTCGAAATGGCCTTGATATCCAGATGGAGCTGACTGCACAGAGACGGCTGCCTGGAGGTGCGGAGGTTTTATCCCATTGGCTGAGAAAGAGACTACTTAAATGATTAGTGGAAGTTAAATGCATTCCCAGCAGCCATGGAACTTCTTTAGAAGGAGGTAAATATTCTTACAAGTGTTCCAACTGTTCATGAATCAAAATAAACAGGCAACAATACTATGCAAGGAAATGAACGTCCACATCAGATGTCGAGTCTGTTGAAGATGAACAAACTTACAAGTATGTTACATGGAAAGTGATAATACCCTAGGCAGAAAAGTAATTTACCAGTAGGAGAATTTCAGTCATCTCTCTTCTTGGACAGGCTAATGCAATATGAGTTTAAGATAAACAGGACAGAATGTACCAAACAGAGTTACCCTGGCCTCACCCTAAAACTACCAGTTTAGACAGTATACAGTATTGGCAGAATAACCACCTGTCTTTGTAGGAATTGTTAAGCCATAGAAGGTGACTTACCAAGTGCAATTATAATACAGCTAACAACGATAAACATGCCCGTCACCTCTCTTCATATCACTAGACTAACCACGCCATACGTCAGGCAACACTCTTAAGACCAACTACCATTTTTATTCTTTCATTTCTTTTTGCCTAAAATAAGCTTGGGTTAATTGCAAAAAAATAAACCTTTATACTTGGGGTCGGAAATAGATGACCTCCCTCAACTTAAACTTTTGTACTAAACCTACCTAAACTCTTGACTACTGTGCAAAATTAACAGATTCAGTCAAAGCTAATGGCGCGTGCATCACCCGTGGAACTAAGACCATGTTTTCCTGATCATTAATGTATAATAGATTTATGAGATTTAAGATGACTTTTTTTACCCTCATTTTGTTTTGCCCTTTTCACATGTTGTCTTCAACCTGAAGACTGCACCGTTCACCCAAACACCCACCATCACAGGCCACTCTCTCTCTCTCTCTCTCTCACACACACACACACTCAAACAAACACACACACACACACACATTACTCTGCTTCATATGAAATCCCACACACACAAGGACACATCTATGCTTCATATGTAATGCAAAAGTCCAAAAACACCAAAGAGGAGGAGGAAAGTAGGCTCAGCAATCTGCATAAGTTAAGAAAAGCTGGTGGTGACCATAGTGAAACATTTGGCAATGTAGACAACTGTTCAGACGAGTGTAGTCAAGGGGCCAATGTAGAGCAGCAGCAGGTGTTGATGCCACAGGAAAAGAAACTGCTCATGAAAGCCTTGGTAAGCATTGATGAGAGTGATGGGTGGTGTTTCTCATCCATGTACATAGAATCCTGTATAGGTCCACACACACACACGCTCCTTTTCTATGCAACCACGCCCATACACTTACATTGGGGACCTGGGGTTTCAGATAGTATTAGATTTTGGTATGTATCAGCTATCAAAAGCATACTCATATACATAAATAAGACATTGGTATACCTTAATTGTGAATTACTTAAGCAGATAAACTATATCCTTGGGTTTTAAAGGTGATGAAATCAGAGATGGTGGCTTTTGTGATATCTTGAACTTGTTGTAGCAGATCAGGTTGATGGATTTTTTGGCAAAAGAAGTGGACCTTTGTGGTATTTCAAGATGTTTGCTGTTCTTGAACCAAACCAGTGAGCTTTCTTGATGGAAAGGAATCATGGAAGAGAGAGATCACAAAGAAGAGTTGTAGGATGAATTAGGCTGAAGAGAAAGAAGCCATTTTTGAACCAGAACCAAATCATATTTTCTGTTAAAGAGAAAAGAATAAATCTGAGATGGGTATGTGAAAGTAAGTGAGATCACTACTGGTCTTTGACTGAATATGTGGAAATGTCCATAAGAAGTTCAGCCAGCAATACAAAGCCACAATTGGGGCAGATTGTTGTGAGATACTAATCAATGACAGGCTCATCATTTTATAAAGGTGCAATTGCTGTGTTTTAGTGTATGATGTTAATGTAGTGAGATCTTTTGATAGTTTTGACAATTGGCATGAAGAATTTCTTACAAAGGTCGGTGTATCTTTTATGGGCTTCATTTTTGACATTTTCATGGCTTTGGTGGAGACTATAAGTTGTTCCTTCCTGCCATATATATCTTACTGGTTTAATTGAAGGTCTACTTTTTGCTCTAAAAGTGAACTAGAACCACTTCGGATCCCTGTTTGCTTCACTTAAGCAACACATATAAAGCATTTTAGAGCACTTAGAACAGAATTGTTAGGAACACAGGTGTTGCAAGAGAAGTCAGGATGTCATCTAGTGTGGGTGTTGGATGGGAGAGGGAGTGGTAGAGATGGGTAGCTAAAAAAGGGCATTGTAGTGAAAATTGAATGAAATGATAACTATATTTTGATATTTTTTAGAATTTTGTAACAGACATCCATTTTTTCCCTTTGGCCATATAATTCAGGGAGGTTTAGTACAGAACTTTAAAGTAGAGGGGGGGTCATCTGCTAAGTACAAGGGTTTTTTTTTTGTGCAATAAACCCTAAAAACATAAAAATCACATATTCTACATAAAAAATGGTCTGATTTCCTTCAATGTTATATATATATATATATATATATATATATATATATATATATATATATAGAGAGAGAGAGAGAGAGAGAGAGATAAAAAGACATGATTTTGGATGATGCTTGCATCTTTGCTAATGCATGCATGTATTCAAAATAAGCTTCCCTCTCAATCTAAGAAGCACAGACACGGGATACAAATTCGACATGATATGGAGACACGCAGTGGCGGATTTAGCATGGGGCCAGTGGGGGCAGTTGCCCCCACTGAAATTTTAAAAAAATATGGGATTTAGGTGTAATTTTAAGAATTTCAAGAATTTCTTAAACTTGCCCCCACTAAAAGTTTCTTAAAGTATAGGGTATATTAATATAATTTTCAACTCTTAAAACCTAACTTTTGGCAACTCCTCCTCATTTTGCACGCCTAGCAGTTGCCCCCACTGAAATTTTAAAAAATTTTGAGACCTAAGTGTAATTTTAAAAAAAATTCAAGAATTTCTTAAACTTACTCCACTAAAATTTTCTTAAAGTATAGAATATATTAATATAATTTTAAACCCTTAAAAGTTAACTTTTGGCAACTCCTTTTCACGCTTGTTTTTTTTTTTGTAAGCCTTCGCCTTCTTCGTTCAAGCTTCCAGTTCAGTCTAGGCGTCCAGCCGGTAGCCCCTATTCTTTCTTTTATTAGTTTCTTTGGTGTATTCATCAACAAATCACCCTATTGAATTCAATCATTGTATAAATCAAATTTGAAGAAATCCTAAAAGATTATGTTGAAGCTAAGGAGAGGTAATCCATTAACCAAATTTTTTGATAGTAGTATTAGCACTAATCTAAAATCAAATTTTTTATATTAAAAAATTAGTCTAACTCTTGTAGAATTGATGGTTGTTTGGTGTATTATTTATGGATTTATGTAAGTTTTTTTTTGTTTCGTCTTAAGTCACCACTCAACTATTTTGAATTTTTGTTAAAGCACATGTTCAAATTGACTATCTGAGATTCTTGGTTAGTACTATTTTTCTCTCCTATGATTAAATTATTTTAATAGATTTCTTGAAACTCTAGTTAGGATTATATTTTGATTATATGTAGTTCATTATCTTATTTTTTACGAACTTAATGACAAACTCTTAAACTTGAACCTAATTAGACAAATTTATTTTTTAATCAGTTATGAATAGGTTGCCCCCACTAAGGCAAAATCTTGGCTCCGCTCCTTGAGACACGGCCACTACATTTCTTTAAAAAGTAGGATACAAACACGCTGCAGATATGGTATAAAATAACTATGTTTTATATACAAGATTACATGATTTATCAAAAGTATAGATATAACTATAGTACTATTCATAAGAAATTCAATATTTTGTGACAAATAATTATAAATCACGTCTAATCAACTAGTGTGAAATTTTAGGGTAAACAATGGATGACAAACTTACATAATTATAACGAATGCTCTCACTTTCTCAATTTCTCTTCTTTGACAAAATGGTCAAGCATCTTTTATTCTCATAAGTTCGTTCTAAGTATAACTTTAGCATGACTAGTATTGACAATTTTTTATTTTCTCTTGGTATAAGATAGTTATCTGTCATTATTTTAAGAATTGGTAATCATAATTCAACACATGTCTATATTTTAGTACTAGACATGACCGAGAGAGAGATATGTCGGACAAGACACTAAAGGAGAGTCGAACACATGTCCGAAATTAAAATTTTATTTTTTATTATGAACACGAAAAAAATATATTGGATACATGTCCGAGAAGTGTTAGTGTCTAACATGGATACATCGCCTTTGTAAGAGTGTTCGTGCTTCTTAGCTATTGTTGGAGTATAGATAGTCTAGGTTTATTAGGATTTCTCTTTCCTAGGTTTATTAGGATTTCTTTTCCCTTTTTTACCCTTACTATGATTTTTATATTTTGCCTATATATACGAGGTTTTACTCTTAATTTGAGTATCTCCTTTTACTCACAATTATTTCAAGTTGGTATCAGAGCAAGGTTAGGGTTTGGGGTAGGGTTAGTGTATGGCTCTACCAGCCATACCGCCGAAACCACCCTGGCCATCAGCTGCCCAGCGAAACCGACCAAACCAGCGACAAAACCAGTCCACCTACTGCCCATACCAGGCCACACCGACAGCCCCAAAATCCATACACCGACGGCCCAGGCAACAAACAGTCTTCCACCGACTGCCCATCCTCATACCAGTCCATACACTGACTGCCTATCCTTATACCAGTCCATACCAGCCCCTAGCCGCATCCCAGACAAACCAGTCCATACCAGTCCACCACAACCTTAATCCACGACAAAGGCAGCAACCTCAATCTATACCAGTTCAACCAGTCCATAACCATATGCCAAACCAGCCCATAACCATATGCTAAACCAGCCCACTGTCCAACCGACTGGCCATATATATCCTGTCCCGCGCCCTTTACCCATTCTCCATATAATAATAATAATAGATCCAACCCAATAAACCCAATAAAACCACTCCTATTGCTAGATCATTGTCCAGCCCACTGCTGGGTCACAACTTTCGTTGTGATTTTATTCTAGGACTTTTTTGGGAGGGAGCGGATCCTCTTTTCTGTTGATCTGCCCTTGATGCAGTAGATCACTTATTTATATATTTTGAATTTCTGGGCACCGTGACTTGATTATTTGGGAGCTTTTTGGACCTTTCCTATTTGTCGCTACTGTTCGACTGAAGGTATATTGTTCTCCCTTATTTTATTCCTCTATTTATCTTAGAGTTATTTGGGAGCTTTTTGGACCTTCCCTATTTGTCGCTACTGTTCGACTGAAGGTATATTGTTCTCCCTTATTTTATTCCTCTATTTATCTTAGAGTTATTTTTCTGTCACGGGTGCCCCAGTATTGTTGTTGATATGGCTACTACTGAGGGATTTGAGAACCCTACTGTTGACACCTCTACCGTTGAGACATCTATGGGTACTTCCACTTTTATGTTTGACCAGTATACAGTGCCTACTAGCACAGTTGCATTACCAGCATTACCGGGCATGATCTCTCAAAAAGTTACGGCACAATTGTTGAATGGTCGTAACTTCGCTGAGTGGTCACGCTCATTCCAGCTTTTCTTAGGCCGTGTAGGGAAGCTTGGTTGGCTGACGGGATCTCACCCAAAGCCAGCTGATGCCGACCCTGGATATTCTGCATGGTTCTCTGAAAACTGTGCCATTCTTGGATGGTTATTTGGCTCAATGGAGCCCTCTGTTTGCAAGATCCACCAGTTTCATAGCTCTGTTCCGAAGCTATGGAGCACATTATCAGAGATGTATTCTCAGTCAGGACGGGGAGTTCGTGTTTATGAGCTTTCTCAGGAGCTCTCATATGCTCGGCAGGGAGATATGACCGTTCAGGATCCTTAGTCAGGGATAGGCAACGCTCAGACCAGCGTCGTCAGGGCGCCCCAGATCAGCGCAGACGGGGGGATTCCCGTCAATGTGATTATTGTGGCCGACCAGGACATCTCAGGGCTACTTGCTGGAAGCTCCATCCAGAGCTTAAGCCACCTTCTCGCAGCATGATCGCCGTCCAGTTGATCTATATGGTTGGACCGCAAAGATTTTATATCCGATCTCTGCTTATGTTTCTTATGGTAATCTGTCTCCCACATTTCGAGCTTATACTATGGCCTTATCAGATACGCTGGTTCCTCGCTCTATTTCGGAAGCTATGCGGGAGCCCCAGTGGGTTCTTGCCATGCAGACAGAGATGGACGCTCTTCAGCGTAATCATACATGGGATCTTGTCTCCTTACCTTCAGGGGTGAAGCCTGTTGGCTGTCGCTGGGTTTACACCCTGAAGTTTCTTGCGGATGGTACTATTGATCGTTACAAGGCTAGACTTGTGGCGAAGGGCTTTACTCAGGTACCAGGTCGTGATTTTGGTGCTACATTTGTCCCCGTGGCAAAATTGACTACTGTTCGGTTAATTATTTCTCTGGCTGCGGAGTACTCTTGGCCTCTTCATCAATTAGATGTGAAGAATGCATTTCTTCACGGTGATCTGGACGAGATTATTTATATGGATGCACCACCGGGCTTTCGTGGTGAGGGGGAGTA